CAACCAGTTATTCCCACATGCTCAAAAAAGAGGAGGGCTCAACCATTTGCTCCTGGGGATATATGTGCGATTCAGAAACCCTGCAGCCCACTGTGTTCATGTTTGCCCCTTCCTCCCAAAGCATCTTTGCACACAATGCACCCGAGAGATGGCAGATTACTGACTTGGCCCACTGTTTGCTGACTTCTTCATACTGGGCAGCCCAGTGCCTGAACAGGAACATGTGTAACTTCGTCCATCAGAGACCTCCACAAATTGCTGCCCAATTCTACTCCTGGCTCTTACAAGGTCTAGTATCCATCTGGGCCTTTCCTTCGCCCAGCTTCAGAAACAAACCTGGAGAGCTGAAAGTTGGGAGCACCTGCTTTGAGAGACAGTGTCATTGATTCAGTCTAGTAACATCCCTGTTCCTTTTCTGGGAAATATTCAGAGTGGGTCATAATTTCCAAATAGCCTTTCAAGTTACTCACTCACTGTTGTGGTTGTTTTTTTCTTTTCAGGCAATTTTGTACAGGTGAATTCAGGTATGTAGGGTCAATTTCTTTCTTCTCTGAAGTGGGATGTTCACAGAAGCAGGGGGAGTTATGGATCGAGAGTAAGGAATAGATGTATTTCTTCCTAACCTCCTGCCCATTATGGCCTGTTATCTATACAAGTACAAAATGAAGACTCTTGGAAAAACACTTGGTTGACGTAAAAAATATTTTTGCTGTTTGTCTGAGTGAATTGGTTACAAACTGCAATATTACCAAACATACTACCCTCCCAAGCAGTGTAAGAGGGGAAATGTCAGGGCAGCACACAAGAGCTGATCTCCTTAGCTTGGAGTTCCTGCAGGGTTTTGTTCTGTGAGGTGCAAGAAATTCTCATGTCCTTTCTTTCTCTTTCCATATAGGAAAGATGGTGTTCCAATAGGCTACAAAGGGAGCACTTTCCACAGGTAAATGTTTTTCCTTCTAATGCTTAAAACAGCTTGGTGAACCACAGGCATTCTGGAGTCCTCTTTTTAATGATGCCGTTAACTAAGAGGCACGCTGTACACTTCAAAAAGTATCAGAGGGGCAACTTTGATATTTCTTCGTCTAACTACTTCTGCTGTTAATCTCTTGGTTTCTGTTATTTCCACTCCAATTATCTGATGAAAGGGGTTTTGCCCATGAAAGCTCATGATTCTATATATTTTGGGTAGGCTCTAAGATGCCACAGAACTCCTCATTGACAAAAAAAAAATAGGAACTCTTAGGGATGTAAAATCCAATTTAATTAGTTAACTGATTAAATGTTAAGTTTAACCAATTAACTGATTAACCCCCTGGACTGAAGAGGCCACCGCAACAGCTGGGCTGGAGCAGCCTCTGTGCCATGGGCAGGGACTACTACAGCCCAGCTGCTTCCAGCCTGCACAGGGCTGGAGCAGTCCACAGAAGGCCGTTTGTGGGGAGCTGCTCTCGGGTAACATTTGAGTGATGCTTACCATTCACATCCCTAGTAGCTCTCAATTTGTTTTCCTTCTGTAACTGATGTCTTGCACCTACAGTTTGGGTGACTTTGTCCACTGCATTCCTTGTTAGCCCTGCCTGTATACAGGTTCAAAGGCACCTAGGAGGCTGCAGTTTCTCTCTATGGCTGTCTAGACTGCATCCCTTTTCCATAAAAGGGATGCAAATTAGACACATTGCAATTGCAAATGAAGCGGGGATTTAAATCCCCCCCGCTTCATTTGCATAAAAATGGCTGCCGCTTTTTTCCGGCTCAGAGCTTTGCCGGAAAAAAGCACCCGTCTAGATGCGGATCTTTCGGAAAATAAGAGGGATAAGGGATCTTTCGGAAAAGGCTTTATTTTCCGAAAGATCCGTGTCTAGACGGGTGCTTTTTTCCGGCAAAGCTCTGAGCCGGAAAAAAGCGGCAGCCATTTTTATGCAAATGAAGCGAGGAGGATTTAAATCCCCGCTTCATTTGCAATTGCAATGTGTCTAATTTGCATCCCTTTTATGGAAAAGGGATGCAGTCTAGACAGCCATAGAGAGAAACTGCAGCCTCCTAGGTGCCTTTGAACCTGTATACAGGCAGTTACCTTTTCCTTTCTCTGCCTCGTTTAAGCTCAGGGTTCATTTCTCTTTGAGTGCATCATCAGATCGAAAGGTCAAGGATTTCAATTCATTTTAGCTTAAACTGTGGAAATTCTTTATTGTTTTATTACAAAATGTATGGGTTTGCAAATCCTGATGAATTTTAACTGTTGTGGGGAATATCTCTGTTTTTCACTGACACATTAGGATTCTCAGGAAGTTTTTGCAGAGGGATGTAACTATGTTTTTTATTACTTCTTTAGGGTCATTAAGGATTTCATGATCCAGGGAGGTGACTTTGTAAATGTAGGTACTCTGTTGTTTTCCTTTCGTAAAGGAAGTGGTGTGAGGAAAATAACTTATGAGAAAATAACTACTTGAGAAGTTTCATTGGTATTTTTTTGCTCTCTGCACTGGAATGAATTGGAACGCACTAAGAAACGGATATCTGGGGACTGGGAACAATGTTTCCCCTGAAGCAACTGGAACAGCATTACCTACATTGTCATGTATTTCTGAGTTGCAAACATTCCCTTTCCTTGGGTGAAAAATACCAGGCTCTTCTGCTGCAGTGATCACCCTTCTGAAAAGCACAGTTCCCATGGCCTGCTGGCTGTGCCTCTAACCATGAGACAGTTCATTCCACACAACACCAACATTCTCCAACAACTTTTCTGGGGAGTGTTTGGTCTGCCAGTTGGGAGCTGGATTGGACATTCATGTTGTCAAAAGCAAGTGCTATTTTTCTGCACTACCAGATTATGTAGTGTTTCATAACTTACATTTCAAGTTGGTAAAGAAAAATGGTAATTGGCTGTGTGCAGAGAGCAACTGTGTTTAGGAAACAGTGCTCCTATTTAGGGTGGCTGAGTTTAATGGGTTTTCCCCTAATGAACTCTCTCAGACTGAAAAGGTCATTTCTGCTTGAAATTGCTATTTTTTTTCTTTCACTTTGAATTCTGAGTTGGCAAAATAAAAACAGCTGGCTTTTCAAAACAAATAAAATAAAAATGCTTATGCTTTTAAAATGATTGGTGAGCACTCACAAAACTTGTTACAGGAAGCTTGGTTTAGCCAGGTATTTTTGTTTAAAGTCAGGTTCTTGTGAATGATCTACTAAAATGCACAGGGACATCTGACAACTTCTAGTAGAAGCTTAACCAAAATTACAAGCAACGTATTATTACTATTAATTGTGAGAAAAAATTGTTTATTACATTAGGTCAGGAACTGAGAGCAGTATTGCTGGACCTAGTATTAGAACAATCAGTTTTAGAACAATAGCTGGCCCCTTTCTTGAAGATCTTGTCTAAGCAGACAAGATAAACAGTGACAGGATAGAATGTACAGGGCAGAATAAACAGCGTGAAAACTGTTTGGTGTGATTTAGCGAGGCAGGGGCTAATCTAAACAGAAAGACAACAGGGAGAAAGAGGAGGAGGTTGGGGCAAACACCAGTCAGAACTGGTGGAAATATACATCCATTTCTGGAAGGCCCTACTTACACTGCTTCTGCAGCTGTTCTGCCGATTTTGACCTCAGGCAGCTTTGTTTTGCCTCACTGTTTTTTTTTCTGCAAGCCTAAGCCACACGGTTAAAGACGGGGTATGCCCGTCTAAAGACTAGAACTGCATGGGTTCTAGTGCCTCAGAGGGGGTCTTCCCTGCACAGTTCTGATTTTTGGGTGGTCCTGAGGAAGCAATCCTTCAAGAAGTAATCCTTCACCTGTTAGACATCATGGAAGTTCTAAATGCCTTTGTAAGAGTCCCTTCTCTCCCCTCTCCTGTTTCCGTAAGAACAGCCATACTAGGTCAGGCCAAAGGTACATCTAGCCCAGTATCCTTTTTTCCAGTAGTGGCCAGAGAAAATGAACAGAACAGGGAATCATCACATGATCCCTCTCTTGTCATCCGTTTCCAGCCTCTGATGAACAGTGTAGGGATGCCATTCCTACCCATCCTGGCTAATAGCCATTGATGGACCTAACCAATTGTGCACTGCATGGAAAAAAAACCCTTCCTTTTGTTTGTTTTAAACCTGCTACCTATTCATTTTGTTTGGTGACCCCTAGTCCATTGCCTCTGGAATGTCTGCTGAGTCCAAAATTAGTCTTTTTCTAACATCCATGACCTCTAAGTCCCCTCCTACCTCTCACTTGACACCACCTCTGTCATTGCTGTATGATGAGGCTGAATCTTAGTTGCTGTTAGAACACAGACTCCTAGTTTTCTGATTCTAAAATGTTCAGATGTGTTAACAAGAATGTTACAATTGAAAACTAGTTTTCAACTGGAAATGTGTCCTGAACTGGAACTCCAATTTAAGAGTGGTTTTGTTTGGGAATGTTAAATGCACGCTATAGAAGGCATACTTGTACTGAGACTGAATGCCTGCCACCCTCCTCTTTATGCAGGGAGATGGCACTGGAGTAGCTAGTATATACCGGGGTCCCTTTGCAGATGAAAACTTCAAACTCAGACATTCTGCCCCTGGGCTGTTATCTATGGTAAGTATAAGACAACAAAGGAGTAGGACTAGAATGGCTTTGTGCTCCCTTGTGGAGACTTGTAGCTTCTTTTCTAGCTTGCAAAGTCTCCTACTTTTCCTAAAATGTCTGAAAAAAGCCTCATTGAGGGCCAGGTTCTGCTCCTCTGTTTAGTTCAGTAACTAGCTGTTTCAGAGGCTGGTACCCCAGTAGCAGACAGTTGTGCTGGAACATGACTGGGCAGAAACCCAGATATTGTGATTCTGAAGCTGCAGAATCTGTTGCAGAATTCTTTTTCCGCGTTAATCTAAATAACTTGTTTCTGGGCCACAGGGGTCTGCTGCAGATAGGGGCTCGTCTGGCTGGACTGGAGTAGCCTCTGCCTGGGAGGTGGGGATGGAGACTGTTCTAGCCCAGACTGCTCACTGCCCCTTTAATTGGTTAACTAAATGGGATTTTACATCCCTGCTACACAGTTGCCTAAATTTTCAGCTTCACTTGTGACAATTTCTGCAAAGCAGTAAGTGTAATCAATACAAAGGATGTGCCCTTCCCCCAGGAGCACAGTGTGATAAGGAACTCAGCTTGGTGTGAGCTGGCCCCAGTACTCTTTCAGAGCCACAGAAACTCTCTGCAATGTATCTGAATCTGATCGGTCAGATGGGCTGTTATTGCTCAGCAGGAGCTCGGAGGCCATAGTCCTGATCATAGCTCAAGACATGTCTTTTTTTTCTTTGCTCTGCATACCATGGAGCTAGTATTAACTTTGGAAAATAGCCCAGGAGGATTACTTTCCTCCTGCTTTGGGCACCTCTGTCTTCTAACTACCACTGGCTTGAGGTGTTTTGTTTTTGCATTTTCAATCAGGCAAACAGTGGCCCAAGTTCTAATGGTTGTCAGTTTTTCATCACATGCTCCAAATGTGACTGGCTGGATGGAAAGCATGTTGTATTTGGTGAGTAACTGCAACACAGAGTCATCTGTATTTGACAATCTGAGACTACAGAAAAGGTGAATATAAAACTGCTATTAATAAATATTCTCTTCCCCTGACAGGCAAAATCATTGATGGGCTCCTTGTCATGAGAAAAATTGAAGTAAGTTTAGTTCCTCATCCTGTTCAGGAATGTGCATGCCAGATACACATGTGCAGCAGTAATCCGGGCTTCGTGCTCCCTTCCTGTCCACGTGCAGTGTAATGGTGGAACAGTAGTGAGCAGGAACTCCTTGCTAGGACTGGACTTCCTGCACAGGGAGGCCATCATGCAGCTTTGCCTTAGCAAGATGCAGGGAGTTTTGTGTCATGCGGTTGGAGTAGCCGGTCAGTGACTGGAAAAGCTTGTTTAGATGGGTTAGGTTATGGTGCAGAGAGTCCTTTCTGGAAACTTGTTTGATTAACAAGTTAAGAACAGGAATGTAAAGGAGATGGGTTCTGTGGTATTACGAGGTAATGTGAAGTTGATTAGATTTCAGCTGAATAATTCAGGGAATTTATCAACACCTTCTAATAATATTAAATAAGGTTTCTGAAGGGTTTCCAGGTGATGTAGCTATACACATCTGTGCATTGACCAGTGAATTCTATATTTAGAATGGAGTGTTAGACAAACATCCTGGGTCTGTTAATATTCTCTTTTAAAGTGTTGGGGTACCACAATGTTGGATGACTCACTAAACAGAGCACCTAGTGGCGGTCTGCTTTCTGACTGGGTGCTTGTGTGCAAGTAGTGGGCCCCAGAGCTGAGCCAGGGATAGTGTGTGAATGCTAGAAATAGAGAATCCAAAGGGGAAAGGAGTACAGAGCTGAGAACAGCTCTACTTAAAGTATCATGCGAAGGTCTTATGCAGGGAATCACGCTACACAATTCTTTATTGCTAGCCCTCTTTTAATAAAACCACTGCAGAGGTGAATTTTGTTTACACTTTCTGTATGTCCAATGGAAAATGTTAACTGACTCTGATCACCTTGTCTGACTGCCGTAAGTTGGAAGTGTTGCTAACACAGAAAAGAGCCACTATGACTGGAAACTAGAAGGCGACTCCTCTTGCAGCATTTCCCACCAGAAGTACTTTAATAAACAAAAGGAGGACAACTGTGTGCCTGTTTTGTAGGCTGCCCAAACACAACTGTGGTGGGCAGAGGAGAAAGGAATTAAGTGACACAGTCAGAGATCACGGGCCCTAGTTCAGGCTGATGTGTGAGTTCCGAGGATGTACTTTGGGTATCCTTACGGAATAGCTCCCTCTTCTGTACAAATGGGGGGTACTTTTCTTTTTGATATGATAATTAGTGTCATTTTAAAGATGGAAACCAAAGAAATCTCAAGTGACATATTGCGTCTCATTGCAAGTTCCATTTATCTCTGCTGCTTCTGTCTTTGTTCCCCTTTTGTGAGTTCAGAGTCTCCCATGGCTCTGTAGTAAAGAAGCAGTTTGCAGGGTTTATATAAGGGTCCAAGGACATTGCTGCAAAAGAGAAGAAATGAAAGAGCCCCTCAAAATAGCTTCTGATTCCTAGTGACTTGCTGTGACTTTATACCATGTAACTGTGTGCGTGTGTGTTTTTTTGTTTTGTTTTTTTTTGGTCCTCCAGAATGTACCTACTGGTCCAAATAACAAACCCAAACTACCAGTGGTCATCTCGCAGTGTGGTGAAATGTAGAGCAATGGACTCAGAAATCTTGGTAGGTCTGTCAGTCTTCTTCATTGTGGCTGAGAAACTACCTGCTGAGAGGTGATGATGATTGGAACCCACCTGTCACTGCCTCGAAGTTCTGTTTGCTATTTGCCGTTCTCACAGCTTGTGGAAAGTTTCATTTTCTGGGGGAGTTGCAAGTAACCCTAAAAGCTCAAGAAAATAACTGTTGGAAGAATAGAGGATTCTGTAATAGCTTTGGCACTGTCCTTCCTGGGGCCATATGTGTTGTGAAGCTGAAGCACTTGATGTCTGGATGGGGAGAGATCTTGTAAGCCCCTGCAAGTCAGTGGGCTTGTCACATGGTACATCCTCTCTTCTGACAACAGAAGGCGCCGTTTTCCTGGTCCTTGGTCAGGTGTTTCTAGCATTTCTATGCTCCTGGCCACCTTGGCTTGCTCATGTAGTCATTGCTACTTAAGGTCATAGACTGTGCCAGAGACCTTGTATTAAAAAGCATAGCTCTCCTTCTGAGTCATCCAGCTGCTTCATCAGGCAAAAAGCTTTTCAACACACATGCGCAGAAATGTCAGTCTGCAACTTGATTTTAAAATACATTTGCCAAACGTTCGATTTTGTTATCCCGTTAGCCACTGATTTTCAGGTTTTTACAAGCAGATAGTGGATGGAGGCAGTACATACCATTCCTCTCCACTCCTGACATCTGCAAGTTGAACCAACTGCTTTCTGACAACTAGATAACTCCAAGTCATTCCCAAAATAGCTACATGGAGACACCCCTCCCTGTCAGAAGGGCGGTTTGAGATCCATAGTGCTTAGCAGGCATTTAGGACCTGATCCTGGAATTTGTTGAGTGCCCTTAGAGGAGGCATTCAATGCTTATCAGGATTGGGCCCTCAGTACATGAAGCCTCCAACTGTGGTGGGTAAGTAATATCACCACTATGTGCTGCCTCCTCTCCCCAGTTCACAGTTGCTGTTAGCTGGGTAGTCCTGAGAAGATAGCAAACAGTGAAATTGTTAATAATGTAGATTTGAAATTGCCATCTTTAAGTTTCAGCTCCCTCACTGGGCTGATGAATGGAGCACTGTCAGAGGCAGGGCATTATGTTGCTTGCAGACTTCGGCAGGTGTGTACACTCTGCTCCCAGTTTTCAAAGCTTCCCTGGTGGCTGGGAGCATAATTATTTTTAAATGAAAACTGAGATTTTGCTGGAGAATCCATGGCCACTGAACTGTGGCATTCCCACGTCCCTGATGGTCTAACAGATACAGTTAGACATCATGGCTTGCTGGGTATCAGTGACAGCAATGTAACTCGGAGCAAGAGATGGGGTTAGGAGTGACGAATTTCTTAGCTGTTTCTGTTCCATCCCTTCAGCTGCTGTGGGGGCTGAGCCAGTGGTGAAGACAGCATGCCCAGATGGTCTGCATTCTGACATGGCTGATGCTATTACTGATCTTCTTTCTCCTCCCACTTCCAGATAGTCCCTGGTCCCTGGTCTCTGTGCTGCTGGCACGTCTTCAGAAGCTTCTGACATTCAGGATGTACAGTTTTAAAAAAAAAAAACAATTTTTTTAGTGTAAATCATTGTGTTAAATGTCTGTGCAGTGTTGTCCAGTTAGAATATTTCAGGCTGGATTCTTGGACCGGTGTACTTTTGGGGTTTTTTTCTTTTGTTTTTGCAGATGAATATACTTTGAATTTTGAATAAAAGGTAAACATATCTAATCTGTCTGCTCTCTGATTATTTTGCTGGGTAATATGTGTGATAATTTTTCCATAATCACAATCTCATGGGTTTTTTAAACAAGTTCTCTATGGTTTGGCTATTTTTATTTTTCCAATGAGAAGCTAATGACAGCTATGAGGAGAGTTTAATTGATTTTTGTGTTTGACTCTTTCCACTAGGAAACCCCAGAAGGCTTACCAAGGGATCATTTGGTCATAAATATCAAACAATTTGTGATATTTGGTTACTGCTTGCATCCCAATATCCTCAAATGACCAGATATGGCCACTGTATATGCATAACAGCTCCTCTTTCACCACAATTTCTTCAACTTTTATTCCCATTCAATCTCTATTTTTTTTCCATCTGATTGTTGGGAGCTAGCACTGAAATAATATTTTAAAGAAATTTTCTTTTATTGTGTTACACATTGAGGTTGGTATATCAGAGGCAGCAGCGTGGGGTGCCAGGTGGGAGCTGGTCCGCAAGGGGAGCCAGTTTAAAAAACAGCTCCTCTCGTGGGGGAATGCATGTAGTTTATGGCATTAACATTTTGCTTATTGGCTAATCGACTACACTATTGCACTACACCAGTGTGTTTCAACCTTTTTTCATAAAGTATTCCTTTTTCAAAAAAAATTTATAAGTATCCCCAGTACCTACAGTTTTCAGACACACACGATTGTTTTCTACCATTGCAATACATTTGTTTAAACAACTTAATTGTACCCGGGTGGGGAATGAAATTTTTGGGTGTAAAAAATACAAAAGTAATAAAGAGCTGTAAAACTTAAAACAAAAATTCAGTTTTCCCCCCCCCCCCCAACCTTCCCTTCAGTTCCCATAAGAGTACTCGTACCACTGGTTGAGAAAAGCGAAGTTACTCACCTTGGTGTCTTCAAGATGGTGTCCCCGCGGGTGCTCCACTGTTGGTGCTGGGCTTGCCCCGACGCCGCAGACAGAGAATTTTCCAGAAGTAGTACTTTGCCGGACCATGCATACGTCGCTACTCGTGGCATTCGCGCTCTTTTCTCTGTGTGCACAGTCTGGCCCCTGCCAGTTCCGCGAGGCCACCTCAAAGTATAAAAAACAGAACAGAAGAATGGACTCTGAAGTGGGGAGGAGGGCGGGTAGTGGAGCACCTGCAGGGACACCATCTCAAAGAACAACAGTTATCTCACCAAGGTGATGGAAGCAAAGGCCTCACTCAGTTTAGGTGGCTAAACAGACAGCTTTATTGATCAGTAAAGCAAAGTGAGCCAAATGTGGTCCCAGCAGAGCCAGGCCCAGTAAGGCTGGCTAATACAATCAATCCTAGTATTTTATACCCTTAACCAACAAGTCCGACATCAGGGCAAGAAATCAAAGCGAACTTCAAAGAGGAATTATTACCAGCAAAGAAAGAAACAGGTTTGGTTTTTTTCGGGAGTAAGGGCTTCAGCTTAAAGTAGTTCATTAACACATTCCAACAGCGCATCCTTCTGGCCTCTCCCCACCTCGGTGAAGGCCAGTTGACTCCCTCTAGTATACGTGCAGACACAAGAAACTGAAATGGCTTCTAGCTAAATATGAAATGGTTTCCACACTGAGTAGCAGTAGTTGCCACAATGGAGGGAAGCAGAGTCCCTATTTTTCCGCCATAGAGAGCACAGCAGCCACCAGTGCTCCATCAGATTGAGCACTCTGGAATAGAGAGTATTGCTTGGCAAAGCTCTGGTGAGAAGCCCACGTAGCTGCCCTACATATGTCCCTCAAGGGGGAACCCCTTTTAAAAATGCAGTGGACGCTGCAATGGCTCTAGCAGAATGAGCCCGAGGTGGAATGGGAAGTGGGATATGTTTCTCCGCATAAGACTGTCTTATTTGTTCAATATGATTTTTGAGATACGTTGGGCTGAAAGTGGTTGACCTTTAGATCTTCCGTTGAAGGACAGTAGTAGTTGACAGGACTAAAAGACCTGGTCTGATCACTGTAGAACGCTAGGGCTCTATGAGCGTCGAGCGTATGTAGGAACACCTCTCTAGGCGGGGAATGATGCTTTGGGTAGAATACTGGGAGGACGAGTGGTTTGTTCACATGAAACGTCCATGCTATCTTGGGATAAATTTGGGATGGAGCCTCAGAATCACTGCATCGCTGTGGAAAATGGTGAATGGCAGTGTTGCCATTAAGGCTGAGAGCTCCCCGACATCTTGCTGATGTTATAGTGAGTAGAAACACTGTTTTCATAGTCAAAAATTTTAGAGGTGTGGAGGCTAGAGGTTCAAATGGCGGGCCCATTAAGGCCTCAAGGACTGTGTCTAAGTTCCAAATGGGTGGAGCTGGGTTTTGCAGTGGGCTAATATTCGCGAGGCCCTTGAGGAACCTCTTGGAGAGGGGGTGAGCAAAAATGGATGCCCCTTCTAAAGGAAGTCGGAATGTTGATATTGCGGCCAAATGTCCCCTGATAGAGGATAAGGACGGTCCTATCTCCTTTAGGTACAGAAGATAAGTCAAAATGTCAGGAAGAGGGAGCATCTCCAGAGGCTGCTGTTTCATGGCACACCAGGAGGCAAATTGTTGCCATTTGTACAGGTAAGATTTTTGTGTTGTCTGTCATCTGCTGTGTATAAGGACCTCTTTGACTGGAGCCAGGCATAAAGATTTGGTCGAGTCTAACCAACTAGGAACCACGCCGTAAGGTTCAGTGTGTGGATTTGAGGGTGACGTAATCAACCTATGTTCTGGGTTAAGAGGTTCGGGAGAAGCAGAAGGTGGATGGGTTGCTGAAGAGACATTTGATGTAGAAGAGGGAACCTACGTTGCCAAACCCATGCTGGGGCTATCAAGATGATCTTGTCTTGGTCTGACCTCACCTTCTGCAAGACTTTTGGAATGAGTAGTATCAGATGAAAGGCATATAGGAGGGGTCCTTTCCAGTCGAGGAGAAAGACGTCACCTAAGGATCCCAGGCCGAGGCCTGCCCTGAAGGCGTAGATGGGTCGCTTCTTGTAATGGTCGGCGAAAAGGTCCACTACAGGAGTCCCCTAGCGTTGAAATATTGTGTGAAGGATTCCTTTGTGGAGTTCCCAATTGTGCTTGGTATGGAAGTGTCTGCTTAGAAAGTCGACAGTGATGTTTCTGGTTCCAGGTAAGTAGGATGTCGTGGGTGTTATGTTGTGGCGAATGCACCAGTTCCAAAGACAGACTCCATGCACAGGGAATGGGAGCGAGCTCCACCTTGACGATTTACGAAGTACATAGCTGTGACATTGTCCATGAGGATCTTGACCACGGCGTGCTGTATTGTCAACTGGAAGGATTTGCAAATGTTGAAAATTGGTCGCCAGCCTCCTGATTTTTTCTGAGTCAGAAAATAGTGGGAGTAGAACCCCCTGTTCCTGAACTCGGTAGGAACCGGTTCTGTGGCCCCTAGAGCCATGAGATGATTGACCTCGTGGCAGAGAAGGTTTTTGTGAGAGGGGTCCCTGAAAAGGGACAGGGTGGGAGTGGTGGTAGGGGGTTTGGATATGAGGGGGATGGAGTTGCCTGTCTGAACGATCTCTAACACCCATCTGTCTGTTGTAATCTCGGCCCATTAGTGGAAAAAGGGCCTTAGACGATGGTGCTTAGCATTAGGTGTGGTCTGGTTGTGGTTATTGCAGTTTCGGTGATGCTGAGGTCTCTGGCGTGCACGTTGATTGTCGAAACCTCTTTGTGTCTGGTGGTGCTGTTGCTGCCACTGGGGATGGGCGTATGGGTAGTCGTACCTGCGTTGATATGGGGTGTAACGACGTCTTCTGAAGGGGGGAGTGCACATACCTAGCGTGCACAAGGTTGTATGGGAGTCTTTAGAAGAGTGCATGTGGACAAGTCGGGGTGCGATCACCCAAAGGGGGGCTCGGTGAACCCCTTCGTCCTTTAACGAGGTCCTGCCTTGGGTCCCCATTTGCAAGCCCTGTCAGTTGGGTGCGATCACCTCCTCCCGGCCGCACCGGAGAGGGGGTTTCAGCAGACCCTCAGGCGGGGTGGGGCCTGCGCTCTTAGTCTGGTCCTTCCCTGGACCGATGCCCGGGCCGGCCCTACTGTCTGGCTGTTACCCTTCCCTGCTTCGCGTGTGCGCCACTGCTGACCGGGATTGGATCCTCCTGGGGGATGGGGAGGGGGACCCGGTCCCGCCCTCTCTCCGGGTCCCAGCCCGGGGCCCTAAGCGCAGGGGCTCACTCTCGCCCCAGCGCGGCAGACAGGGGTAATTCCCTCCGTAACCCATCTGCCCAGGGTCCCCAAAAGGGCCCCGCCCTGGGCTCCTTCCTCCCTTCCCATGGTCCCTCAAGTACCCGTGACATTCCCTGGGGCCTACCAGGATTCGGGGGTCCAGGTCCAAGGTGGTTCCCACGACGTCCCACAGGTCTGCCCGCCCCGGTGGATCCGGTCTCGGCCGGGCTGTTCTTTCCAGAGCTGGGGGGGTTGGGTCTGGTTGTTGTCTGATCCGGGACTGGCTGACCACCAGCTGCGGGGCCCATCTCTGGAACCACTGGGACAGGGACGGGCCGCCTGGGCCCTGGGGCTCTCCTCCCTCCCTGCGAGGAGGCTGCCCCCTCTCTCTCTGCCGGCGGGCCTCTTTAAAATAGCCCACCGCGCTGGACACCGCCTAGGGCTCCCCCCCCTTCTGGTGGCATGGCAGCTTCCACTACAGCTGCCTGGCCCGGTTTCTGCCCCGGTTCCTCCCGGCGCCGCGCCCAGGGAGGGGCCTGCAGTTCCCTGCTGGCGCAGAGGCCGTGTCTGGCCCTGCCACCCTTCCCCGCCAGCGCTGTGGCAAAGGGGGGTTCGGGCCGTGTCTCCATCCTCAGCCCGGCGGTCTGGGCCGTTCTGCGTGCGGGCCGCTGGCGGCCCGTCACAGTGCAGAACTGTATCGGTCTTTTCTGCAAACAAAGTTGAGAGTATCAAAGGGCAGATCCTCAACTTTGGTTTGTAGTTCCTTGGGAACTGCTGCAGCTTACAAATAGGAGGCTCTTGGCATCACCACTGCTGTAGTGGTGAAGAGTGCTGCGGTGTCTGCCACATCCATAGCCATATTGAGTGATGTTCTGGCAGACGTGTAACCCTCCTGGATCACAGACTTCAGGATGGGTTTCTTAGACTCTGGAAGGTGGTCAATCAATGGAGTCAGTTGAGAAAAGGTGTCAAAGACATGATTGGATAAATGGGCTGTATAATTCGCAATTCTAAGTAGAAGAGTAGCGGAAGTGTAAACTTTTCTGCCAAAGATATCGAGCCTTTTCATTTCTTTGTCCTCAGCCAGGTGTTTGAATTGAGGGGACCTAGATCTAAGTTGGGCCATGTCAACCACCAAAGAGTTTGGTTGGGGATGGGAAAAGAGAAATTCCATCCCCTTAGGTGGGACAAGGTATTTCCTGTCAGCCTTTTTGTTGGTGGGAAGGGCAGATTCTGGAGTGTGTGCCAGATTTCGTTGGCTATCTCAAGGGTGGCTTTGTCTAAGGGGATCACCATCCATGCCCTATGTTGCTATTGCAGGTTCTTGAATAGTTTGTGTTGTTTTTCTTTGACCTCCTCCAATGGAATCTCCTGTGTTGCTGCTACACGTTTAAAGCGTTCCTGAAATTGACAAAGATGGTCTGGGGAGACTTCTTCAGGGATGACTGCTTTGTCAGGAGAGGAAGACTCAACTGGAGATATCTGAAATGGTTGAGTTTCAGGAAGTGTATGATGTGGTTCAGATGTAACTTGAGGAGGTGGTGCAGCCATGTCCAGTGGAGTTAAGGGAGCCGGCGTTGTGAAATGTCTTGAGGAGGCATAGTCGTAAGCAGACCAGGAATGAGAGCGAGATCTGTAATGGTAAGAATATCTGGTTTGAAAATCACGTGAGCAGGGATCATCTTTGCGATACAGCCTGTGAAATGGTGAACGTGTCTCAGGGTAATATTGGTGAGAGTGTTGCCAGTGGTGAAGTTGTGGAGAGCGAGGAGAGCGGGAGCGACTATAAGATCATGAAGATGGCGCAGGAGATGGCAAGCGACATCTGTAATGGCATCTATGATGATCAGTAGATGGAGACAAGAACAGAGAGAGAAGACTCCTTGGAGAGCAGAATGGAGGAGGACTTCCTTGGTATTCCAGAAAACTCGGCGCTGGTGGAGATGGGGATGGCGCCGGTGAGAAAACAAGCGAAGGAGAGCGGCTATGGTGCGGAGGTGTCTGGGGGTGCAAGCTCCTGATATCAGTGCTGGAGTGGCACGGTGCCGGGGTGGTCGGTGCCGCGGTAACCATGGGTGCCGTGCATGGTGCCGCTGAGGCTGATGCTGCTGCTTCCTGCAATTTTATCAGCGCTGTCAGTATTGTCGGTGTCAGGCTTGATGGCACGGGCATCGGCATTGTAGGAGTCGGCGCTGCATCTTTGGTCTCCAAAGTAGACGGTTCCAAGGGCACTCTCGGTGCTATTTGTGGCTTCAGTGCTGGAAGCTTCAGGACCTGCGGGGCCGGCATAGATCGTGGTGCTGAGGTTGGCTCTTGGGAAGCCGCCGTTTTCGATTTTTGAGGCATAGTAGATTTCGGTCGCAGCATTGAAGAGCTGGACGTGCCTGGTTTATCTCCATGGCTAACTCAGCCATGAGATACCACTGGTAGAGACCATGTTGGGGAGAGTCTTATCTTTTTAGTCGAAGAGGTCATTGGGGAGGAAACTCTACGCTTCACCGAGTGGTGTTGTGAAGTGGAGGAGGGGCTCTGCGGCTCGAGCACTTTCTCAAAAAGCAACATCTTTAGCTGCCTTTCTCTGTCCTTTTGTGCTCAAGAAGTCAACTTAGTGCATTAAGTGCACTTTTGGGGCACATGAGACTCCCCTAGACATTTTACACAGAGGGCGTGCCCGTTGGAGGCTGGCATTGCCACACGGCACTCCTGGCATTTCTTGAAACCCCGTGAGGATGACATTTTTCTTCCCCCTCCTTTTTTTTTTTTAGACCAAGAGAGTAGGAAGAGTGGTTAACTATATACATGAATATCAACAGGATGGGGAAGGGGAAAAACGGAAACTAAGAACAGGAGAGAACAGCTACTGGAAAAAAATAATATTTTTTTTAAGAATCAACAGGGAAGAGAACAATAAGGGAAAGGAGCAAGAAACGTCTCACAACACGGAGCGGTTGAAAAGAGGGAGAGCACAGTTCCTCGTGTCTGCAGCCTGAGGCGGTCAAGAGGAACTGGCGGGGGCTGGACCGCGCACACAGAGAAAAGAGTGAATGCCAAGAGTAGTGACGCATGTGTGGTCCAGCCGAGTACTACTTCTGGAATATTCTCTGTCTGCGGCACCGGGGCAAGCCCAGCACCAACAGTGGAGCACCCGCAGGGACATCCTTGAAAAAGAACACTGCACTACACTATTACATCTCTACTCCAGCCCCTAATCATTTTTGTTGTCCTTCGCTGTACTCTTTCTAATGAGTCCATATGTCCACATTTAATGGGGGGTTCATAATTGGATGCAATGCTCCAGGTGTGGAATCACCAATGCTGAATAAAGAGGAATAATCACTTTCCTAGATATGCTGGCAACGCTCTTACTAATGCAATCCAGTAGGCCCTTAGCCTTCTTAGCTACAAGGGCACCCTGTTGACTCATATCCAGATGTCATGTTTTGGATTTTAATGTGACCAGGCAGATCACTGTTGCATCCACTGTTGTGTGTTTGCCCCAAATTCTCTGCAGAGTGGGCCATATGAGGTGTCTAATGTAAGCTTGTGCTATGCTGATTCTGTCTATGCTACTCATATACTTATGAATATGGGCTCTGTATATATTTTCTGTCTAGGAGACAGCAGTAGGCATTGACCACAAATTGCGGGTGGTGGTGGCCCAATGAATAGTGAATGCTTCATGGGCAAAGGCTCGTAAGTGTTGCCAATTGACACCTGAGGAGCATACAATGGCCCTTTGCCTCGGGAGCACATACCTGGATACTCCATGGCTTCCTGCCCATAAAGGACACGGTGATCATGTGATCAGCTCCATTTTGGGAGGTACCATTACTCAGGAGAATAATGGATTTCTCTTTGCATGGACAAGCTTATAACAGTATCCTGGGGGTGCCTATATCTTTGTTTTCACTCTCGCTCTCTGCTCCAGAAGCACCTTTGCTGAGGACAGAGAGCCGGGAAGGAGTGTTCATAGAATCATAGAGCTGGAAGAGACCCCAGAAGGTCATCAAGTCCAGCCCCCTGCTCTAGACTAAATCAACCCGGCCAGGGCTTTGCCAAGCCGAGACTCAAACACCTCTAGGGATGGAGACTCCACTACTTCTCTAGGTAACCCATTCCAGTGCTTCACTACCCTCCTAGGGAAACCGGCCAGGGCTTTGTCAAGCCGAGACTTAAACACCTCTAGGGATGGAGACTCCACTACTTCCCTAGGTAACCCATTCCAATGCTTCACTACCCTCCTAGTAAAATAGTTTTTCCTAATATCCAATCTGGACCTCTCCCACCACAACTTGAGACCATTGCTCCTTGTTCTGCCATCTGTCACTACTGAGAACAGCCTCTCTCCATCCTCTTTGGAACCTCCCTTCAGGAAGTTGAAGGCTGCTATCAAGTCCCCCCTCACTCTTCGCTTCTGCAGACTAAACAGACCCAAGTCCCTCAGCCTCTCCTCGTAGGTCATATGCTCCAGACCCCTAATCATTTTGGTTGCCCTCCGCTGGACCCTCTCCAATGCTTCCGCATCCTTTTTGTAGTGGGGGTCCCAGAACTGGACACAATATTCCAGATGTGGCCTCACCAAAGCCGAATAAAGGGGAATGATGACATCTCTTGATCTGCTGGCAATGCTCCTCTTAATGCAACCTAATATGCCATTAGCCTTCTTGGCTACAAGGGGACACTGTTGACTCATATCTAGCTTCTCATCCACTGTAACCCCCAGGTCCTTTTCTGCAGAACTACTACTTAACCGGTTGGTCCCCAGCTTGTAACTATGCTTGGGATTCTTCCGTCCCAAGTGCAGGACTCTACACTTGTCCTTTTGAACCTCATCAGATTTCTTGTGGCCCAATCCTCCAATTTGTCTAAATCACTCTGGATCCTATCTCTGCCCTGAAGCGTATCTACCTATCCCCCAGCTTAGTATCATCCGCAAACTTGCTGAGAGTGCAATCCATCCCGTAATCTAGGTCATTAATAAAGATATTGAACAAAACCGGTCCTAGAACCGAACCTTGGGGCACTCTGCTAGAAACCGACCGCCATTCTGACATCGAGATGTTGCTCACTACCTGCTGGGCCTGGCCTTCTAGCCATCTTTCTATCCATCTTACCGTCCATTTATCCAATCCACATTCCCTTAACTTCCTGGCAAGAATGTTGTGGGAGACCGTATCAAAAGCCTTGTTAAGTCAAGGTATATCACATCCACTGACTTTCCCATATCCACAGAGCCAGTTACCGCATCATAGAAGCTAATCCGATTGGTCAGGCACGACTTGCCCTTTGTGAATCCATGCTGACTATTCCTAATCACCTTCCTTTCTTCCAAGTGCCTCAAAATGGATTCCTTAAGGATCCCTTCCATGATTTTTCCAGGGACCGAGGTAAGACTGACCGGCCTGTAGTTCCCTGGATCGTCCTTCTTCCCTTTTTTGAAGATGGGCACTACATTTGCCTTTTTCCAATCATCCGGGATTTCTCCCGATCTCCACAATTTTTCAAAGATAATGGCCAAAGGCTCCTCAATGACATTTGCCAACTCCCTCAGTACCCTCGATGCATTAAGTTGGGACCCACAGATTTGTATACGTTTAGCTTTTCTAAATAGTTCCTAACCTGTTCTTTACCCACAAAGGGCTGTCCATCTTCATCCCATCTTGTGTCACTTAGCGCATTAGTCTGAGTGCCCACCTTGTCCATGAATACAGAGGCAAAGAAAGCATTGAGTATTTCAGCTTTCCCCACATCATCTGTCACTAGCTTACCTCCTTCATCGAGTAGGGGCCCCACACCCTCTCTGATCACCTTTTTCTTGTTAACATGACTGTAGAAACCTTTCTTGTTATCCTTCACATCCTTAGCCAGTCGCAATTCCATTTGCGCTTTCACCTTCCTGATAACCCCCCGGAATTCTTGAGCTAGACATTTAAGCCCCTCCCTGGTCATTTGTCCAAGTTTCCACTTTTTGTAAGCTTCCTTTTTGTGCTTAAGTTCACCAAGGATTTCTCCTGTAAGCCAATCCAGTCTCCTACCATGTTTGCCTCTCTTGCTACGCATAGGGCTGGTTACTTTCTGTGCCTTCAATAAAGCTTCTTTAAAATACTGCCAGCTGTCCTAGACTCCTTTCCCCTTCATGTTAGCATCCCAGGGGATTCTGCCCATCAGGTCTTCGAGGGAGTCAAAATCCGCTTTTTTTGAAGTCCAAGGTGTGTATTTTACTATTCTCTTTTCTTTCTTTGGTCAGTATCCTGAAATCTACCTTCTCATGATCACTGCTTCCCAGGTTGTCACCTGTTTGTCCAATGTACATAGCAGACGGACACTTTCGGCACATGATAGCATAAATTATATTTCTGGATGCGCAGGAATGTGTGTTCTTGATCTTATAACTCACTTGGTTAGGTCCAACAATGGTATCAGCAGAATGAATATGTGGACAAAGCTGGCAACGGGGTTTGTTGCAAGGGAAGGTACCAGGGTTGGTCTTAGTGTGGTATGTCCTGTGGTTGTTGGTAAGAATCATCTTGAGGTTAGGTGGTTGTTTATAGGAGACTATGGGTCTGTCTCCCAGAGCCTCTTGGGGTATGGTATCCTGTTCCAGTGTTGCCGGCACACAGTGCCCGAGGGGGGCAACAGCTGGGTTTGTTGCCCGGTGTGCGCGCTCCAATAAACACACCGGTGTGGAGAAGCCAAAAAAAATTTATTTGAACGCTCAAATAGGTTCCAGGAGACATCTCAGGTCAGGCACACCAACGTAAGCAGTTTTCCCTCCTTATATACCCAGGTTGTTTACTTGCAGGAGAATAGTGAACTGTAGCAAGTTTCCCAGGCTGGGACATGCTGCCAGTCCCCCTCCTCCTCCTCTACAGAAACACATCTGAATTCTTCTTCTATACCACTGATAGTAACTAGGCAACTTTCAATGTCTTGCTGTTCCCAGCTGTTAGCGAGCTAGAGAAAAGTTATGTCTCGGGGGGGAAGGGGGCTTTTAGGGTGCTTGGGCCTAGAGCGGGGGCTCTTCATCGATCCTTGTGATCTTCCACTCCCCCGAGTTACCTAGGATCATGCCCAGTGACTCCAACACCAGTATAGGCTGTAGCTTATTGATAATGTGTTGGCCCCTTGGTAATGAATACACAACAGCAGGGAAATGCACGGTTCTGAGCAATTCTTCAATTCTTCAGTCCACTTAGGTGGAGTTGTAGAGGGTGTGGCTCACAGCCTAATATCATGGATTGGAGAGCCAGGGGAGCAGATCACATTGGCAAATAGGAATATCCTTTTAGATCATTTATGTACAAAGCAACTTCCATCTCCTAGCACACACAGCAGTGATACAAGCTACCTGTAAAAGCGGCGAGGAGTCCTGTGGCACCTTATAGACTAACTGAAGTGTTGGAGCATAAGCTTTCGTGGGCAAAGACCCCCAGGACTCCTCACCGCTTTTGCAGATTCAGACTAACACGGCTACCCCTCTGATACAAGCTACCAGTGGAGCAAAAAGCACTGTTGGGTCCTAGTCCTGATTCTCACAGTCTGGATCTTCAATTCTACTGCCATCAGCCAGCCTCTACCACTGTCCAGCTGCTCCTGGTGGTGGAGGGCCTTGGACTCACAGCCCTGCCCTCTGCAAGCAAATGCCTTAACCCCAGCCCACTCCACCTCCCTACCTTCCAGGGGGTCCCTTATCCTGCTTTCCTAATGCAGGAGCTAGGTTAATCCCTGGGGCAGACGGTGTTAGCTGCCCTGTTGCTGGGTGGGTGGGTGTGGGATTGAGCCCACCATCTTGTGCTCCAAAGGCTGAAGCCCTAGCTCCAAGTTCACTGTAAATCCCAGTCCACCCCCCTACCTTCAGTGGGTCCCTTATCATGCTTTCCAAATTGGAGAGCTGGCTCCATTCCTGGGGTGGCCTGTGTTAACTGGCTATATTATTCTAGCTAGAAACCATCTTCCAAGCCTAGAAGTGCTCAGGCCTCAGGGGACTTCTCTCAGACTGATGGGATCTGCTCAGATTCACATCAGGGCCCTTCAAGGAACATGTGTGCATGGGGACATGCTGGGGGGCTGCTGGGGGCTAGGCTGGGGTGTGCCGGTTTTGTACCAATAGCAAGGTGGCAGTCCTATTTGCCAGCGAGAAGGCAGAGACTTCCCCTTAGACTGGGCGCCGCGGGGCTGTGTGCGGAGGCGAGGGCCAGGCTGCCCCAGCTCCGACCTGAGCACGTGCCCCTAGATAACTGCACGAGTTCAACCGAGGCCACGTGCTCCGGCCCGCGCCCTTCCGCTCCCTCCCAGCTGCAGAAGGAGGGATCACAGGGATGCTGCACCAACCACGCTCCAAAAGGGAGGAGTAACGAACCAGGCCGAAACAAGTCCCGGCAGCCGTGATTCGTGCAGCCAATGGGTGTACGCGTTGTATGATGGGCAGGCTCGACGGCCAATGGGCGCTAGCAAAAATGTGGCCGGGATAAGAACACCTAATAACGGAGCGCGTTCTATGATGGGCGAGAGCCACAGCCAACGGGTGTGACAAGCCCCTGAGGGCGGATTTCTAAAAGCCAATGGGTTTGCACGATCCGTGACGGGCAAGCTCCGCAGCCAGTGAAAGAGCTAGTGGGCGGTGCGTGCTGGGTGGCTAGCCCGAGCGGGCCGCCATT